GCGGCCAGGTGCATTTCCAAGGCAAATTGTTGGAATGCAATACGATTCTAGGAGGGGATAGTATTTACACAAAAAAAATTTAAAGGCACAACACTAAAAAAAGGGATAATTTATAAATAAATATATTGGAGGAGTTAATACTTTAAAATGTTAAAAAAGGTATCCAAAAGTATGCAACAATATATGTTAAACTTAAAAGTGCGATGCATTCATCAAGAAAGACGACTATTATTTATTCACTGCATACTTTTAGACACTTAAACCCAAGTGATTTCTAAAGAAAAAGTTTATTTATTAAATATTAAATTAAATTAAAAATAAGAATATTAATATTATTAAGGTATTTATTTATTTTCTTCATGTGCACATTCATTCATTCATTTTCACGTTCAAAAACTTTGTCACTCGAATGCCGTTTGTGACGTCAGCATCCAGTTGCATCCAGTTTCGCACTCGCATCCACATTCACAATCACAATCGCATTCACCTTGCACAGCCAGCGGCGCCTCTCGTTTGACGGCGTTGATTGAATCATGTTGACACGCTCCACCTCGATCTACCACTCCCCGATCCCCCTCTGGTACGCCCATGTACCATGTACCATGTTCCAGTGGGAGGCGGTTGGCTCCATCAATGCCATTTCCCAGAGGGAAATCGATTTGGCCATGGGCCGCACACAAAGTCGCGGCCGAACAAAGGAGATTTCAGGCTAAGTTTTTAAGCCAGCAGGCCTTAAAGACCGCAGATATCTGGTTAAGTTTCTAATGTAGCGCGTACAAAGTGGAAAGGATACAATATATGGTGACCAAAGTCGCGAGTAAACATTGTAAACACTGTAAACCCAAGGCTCTTTTCGGTTCTTCTCTGTGGGTTTCACTCAAGTGTCGAAAACAATCTATATTTATAGATCTAGAAATCTTTACTGCTCTTCTAATAACTTATTTTGCTTGCATACAAACGACACATTCAATTTTCCTATTTAAACAAGCGCCCTTCTCGGCGATTCTCAACGGGCTCAGTTAAGTGACGGCAAATGTGTTTGCCACATATTTTCTCTTTTTTTCTATTTAATGCAGATGATGCATCTTATTGGATTTACTCATTACAGCCCGGGACCTTCCTCGGCGCTTCTCAATCGGTTTACTTATGGCAATTGGCAAAAAAAAAAGAATCCACAGATGCGGCAACCCAATGGTTGATTAACTTGCAGATGTGCGCAGCTGGGAAAGTGCCGCATGCATAAGCGGGTGCTCAAAGGGGGTGCTCTGAATGGGCGACTGGGTGCAAGTGCACTCCCTCAGTTCAAGGCTCTTTCGGCCTGAGTGTGTGTGTGCGTGCGTGTGCATGCCTTAAATTTCCCTTTGCCATCACATTAATTCATAAATTTCAGCATGCCGTTGTTGACGCTTCTAAAAATAGTCCAAAAAAAGAAAAGAGGGTGGGGGTTGCAGTTCGCAGTTTGCAGTTTGCAGTTCTTGGGAGGTCTAAGGACTAAGGACTAAGGACTGAGGCTGACGTTGCCTTGACCGGACAAAGAACACACACAGCACCACTCGCTTTGCACATGTCAGATACCAAGATATACACATACGTAGATCCCAGGACGAAATTCCACTTTGATTTTCGACTTTGCATTGAACTTCACCCATCGCCGTTGCCGTTGCCGTTTCCATTTCCGTTTCCGTTTTAGTTTCAGCTTTTCGGCTTATGCAATCCACCTGCAGAACGATGCGGAAGTGGGTGAGACTCGATTCTCGACTCGACTCGACTCGACTTGTGGATACATATGTACCTACCTACATACCCCTTGTAAATAGGTCGCTGCAGCAGAACAGAAACAGAGCTTGCCGACATCATCGACATCGGCGGCATCTAGAAAGGAGGCTAGGCGACAATGACGTCACAGCCGCATCAGGCCGTGCCGCTGACCTATATATATATATATATATATGATTGCTTGCCAGAGCAACAGAGACAGCGAGTGCAAGAGAGAGAGAGAGAGAAGCGTAAACGTATGCATAAATTTCTGACTGACATTTACATATAGTAGATAAAGATAAACAACAAAAGTTGTTTCCATGTACTATATATATTATATATATGGATGCAGTGGAAGTATAAACGGTCCAAAGTCGGCGAAGAGTAGAGCCTACTACATAGTACACCTGGGCCGAAACTGTTTGTTGACATTTAGTTTGAACCGGCCTTTTACGCCCTGCACTTTTGTCTCTACTCGTTTACTTTGTCTTTTGCGGCTTGCAACAGCTGCTGACGTCACAACGAACAATAGGTCAATTTGTGGTTAAAAAGAAGAGCTATTTTCGAAATTATAGACTACGTTGATCAAGTGGCAATGCCCAAGGTATTAAATATTCATTGGGCCCTTTTAAAAAGCAGCGTTAATCAATTTTCAGTTATGACAAGTGACAACTCTGGCCCAGTTTTTCGCAAAAAATAATTCGTTTTTTGCCCGTTACAATGGAAATATTGATCCTAATATAGATTGTCATACCTTCTTGAATTCGTTATTAAATTTAAAAACGATTGGCATTTAAACCTAGACATTTTATTTTTTTGCCATTTTTTGCAAAAAATCATGATGTAACCCCTTATAAAAAAATGAAAATTGGCGAAAATTTTATTTTTTCAGGATCAATCGGAAAGTGTCATGGATCTATTTATTATTTTGTTATCTGTTCAAAACAGTATGCATTTTTGGTGTAGGACCATTTTTGGCCAAGTTACAGTAAAAAAACAAACAAAGAAATTCAAATTTTTACCAAAAACGCAGATCCTAATTTTTCACAAAAAAATAATTCGTTTTTTGACCGTAACAATGGAAATATAGATTCAAATATGGATTGTCATACCTTTTTGAACTAGTTATTAAATTTCCTATCGATTGGCATTTAAACCTGAACATTTTATTTTTTTGCCATTTTTTGTAAAAAATCATGATGTACCCCCTTATAAAAAAAATGAAAATTAGCGAAAATTTTATTTTTTCAAGATCACCCGGAAAATGTCATGGATTTATTTATTATTTTGTTATCTGTTCAAAACAGTATGCATTTTTGGTGTAGGACCATTTTTGGCCAAGTTACAGCAAAAACCAAACAGAAAAAAGTCAATTTTTTACTAAAAACGCAAATCCCAATTTTTCACAAAAAAATTATGGAAATCAATGGAAATCTTGATCCAAATATGAATTGTCATACCTTTCTGAACTCGTTATTAAATTTCCTATCGACTGGCATTTAAACCTGGACATTTTATTTTTTTGCCATTTTTTGTAAAAAATTATGTTGAACCAATCCCCTTATAAAAAATGAGAAAATTGGTGAAAAATTGGTGAAAAAACTAAATTTTCCCGAAAGAGATGGGAATCGTTAGTTTAGGTTGTTAGCTGCTTTAAAAGGACTGTCGTTAATCTGTGGGCCTTAAATAAACCAAATTATGATAGAAAAACCGCAAAAAAATTCCTATTTTTTCCCTCTTAACCGATATTATTTCGGAAACCAAAAATTTAAAATATTTGTTTAGCTTAAGTCCTTTCTCTGCGCTTCCTACACTTATACTTCCATCAGATGCTAAAATATATTAATTTGGTTCTTAAACCAATAAATTGCTCTATTGTATCACAATGAGTGACTTACAATGCTGTTACTATTCTGCTGACCAAATGTGCGATCATAAATATAAGAAGAAGCGGCCATCGGCGGCAAGATGGAGTTGCAACCGGAAAAGATTTATGCCGACAAACAATTTGTTCGAGCTGGCACTCGCCATTATTGCAGTCGAGTGGCGGGGATAACTGATGTGGCTGAAAATGGATTTTTGGGGGTGGGCCAGTGCACTTACACGCTTAATTAAATGCCACGGCACGGCGCCAGAAAGCAGGCAACCTGCCATGCAACGCCAAAAAGTTGCCAGCAGCAATTGCAGCAGCAACAGCAACAGCAGCAACAATTGCACATTGTCAGCAACATCAGCGATAAGGGCGGAAAATGTTGGGCAAACTGCCAGCAAATGGGTGGTTCGATGATGATGATGATGGTGTTGCTGTGGTTGAGCCCGACTCGTTGGCTCGTTTTTATATGCGATTGTAATACAATTTCAATTACAAGTGTAAACATATATTGCCGGCATGGGCGTATCCTCATATATATATATATATATAAATGTGCAGATGGAGTGCAATGAATTTAATTTGAACGAGAGGCCTAAGCCAAAGGAAAAAGGGCTCGAGTACCTTCACCGACCTCCACCCACCGCCTTTCACTTTTGCTTTTGTACTGTGTGGCACACACACACAAAAAGTTGGCATCGCAATTGCGAATTGCAATTTGAAATCGAGAAAGTGAGGCTGACTGAAATCCCCGACTGCCGGCGGCCATATGCAATATGCATGGCCATTGAATATTCAATGGCAGAGCATCTGGAAATTGATTCGAGCCAAAAAGTAATTAAAGACCAGGCCACTGGAGAGCTTAAAGATCGAAGGCATTGAATAATGGAGACGCGACTTTCGCTTTCGTTTCGTTTTTAACTGAAAGTCGAAAGTAATTGCTGTTTGGCTTTGGGTATTTGAGTATTTAGGTATTCGGGTTAAAAGTTAGCAACAGTCTTTGATTGGATTAATTAGGTTTTAACTCAAATTTAATTAGATTTACTATTTTCAATAAACTCAATTGAACTTTTCTCTTCTCGCCCATTTGTTCTGATATTGAGAGCACTGAACTCAAAATGAGAACGAATGTTCTTGAATCGAGAGCATTCAACTCAAAATGAGAGCAAAGATCAAGAACAAATTGCTCTCTCTGAGTAGAAATCCGTTTAATTTATTTTCTTTAATACAACCTGATGAAAACTAATGTTCTTTAAGGTAAATCTATAAAATATTTTCAGTAAATAACCATTCTTATATACTTATTACTTCCTTATAAATGCCTTAAACCAGTCTTAATTATTTGCTTTCTTTTCATTCACTTTATTCACAGGTCTTTGCCCAAATTGAGCAGTCAAGACGAAGAAGGGGGGGCTGGTCATGGCTTTGGTGGCGGACCGCAACACTTTGAACCCATTCCTCACGATCATGATTTCTGCGAAAGAGTCGTTATAAATGTGAGTTCACAGCCCAATCGAAACTGAAATCGAATTATATCAATTAAACCATTTTTTTTTTTAATATTTCCAGGTAAGCGGATTAAGGTTTGAGACACAACTACGTACGTTAAATCAATTCCCGGACACGCTGCTTGGGGATCCAGCTCGGAGATTACGGTACTTTGACCCGCTTAGAAATGAATATTTTTTTGACCGTAGTCGACCGAGCTTCGACGCGATTTTATACTATTATCAGAGTGGTAAGCATTCCGGCAACAGTCGAATCTATTTCACATCCAACGAATATCCTTTGCAACTCTTGTGCAACCCCAGGCTAATGTTTATCGTTTTTCTCTCTATACTTTTCGTCGTCGCCAACGAACAACAAACAAACAATGAATACTTGACTTTATTCACACACTGCCCACCAAACAAAAAAAACTCCATCAAACTACCCCCAAAAACCAAAAACACTCATCACACGTTCATCCACAGGTGGCCGACTACGGAGACCGGTCAATGTCCCTTTAGACGTATTTAGTGAAGAAATAAAATTTTATGAATTAGGTGATCAAGCAATTAATAAATTCAGGTAAGCCCACGTGTTGCCCACAAGAAATTCCACCACTCCCTAACCAAAAACAAAAACCAAAAAACTAAAACAATAACCCAAACAAAAAACTAAAATAAATGTAAACAGGACAACAAATTGGTTCGGTTTGTTCTATATTGGTAGCACGGCAAATTTACTTATCGAATCAGTGTAATGAGGCATGCAACACGGCTAAAAACAGACCGACACACACGCACATAGACATAGAATAGATCCTAGACTTGGCTTAAATGCAAAATACAAACGTTGCGTTGGCTGGAAGTGCGGTTAGAAGGGAAAGTGTGTTTTTCAAAGTATTATCATTAGAAATTAATTGAAATAGTTTTGGTTTAAGGATCATTCAGAACAGGCTTTAAACCTAATTTAAGTTAAATAATTACATGTAGCTTGTTGGCAACTTTCCCTTGAAACTGTAACAACTCCACCCGATGATATTTAAAAAACAATAAAAAACAGATATAGATGGACTGGACCGGATCGAATGCGAATGCGAATGAGCAAGTGAATGTTAATCACTTGACCACCAGCTTAAAATTTTGTTGATACGGCACGGGGGGCAGTGTGGCCGGATTCGTGGAGCGGAGATGATGGAAGCCGAAGGAGAGTCAACCTAGGAGCGATCAAGGATCCAGCAGGATGCAGCCCACTTCAACTTTTATTCCAACTCTTTGCTAATTGCCAATGCCTTAAGAAAAACCAAAGCCAAGAAGACAATCAACGCTTCTTTTATCTCAATATTTTAAGTTTAGCTTAGCTTTCGATTTAAGCCTTTTGCCTGCTTCCGATTAGAGTTGCGAACCAATCAACTAAATTTGTGCCTAAAAAATACCAGAAATACTTAAGGAATGCCACACTCACAGACCCACACACACACACACACTCACACACTCCATACACCGAAATATGAGATAGTATTGCACATTTGATGCTAACATGACACCGTCCATCATTCTCTATTTGCAGAGAGGATGAAGGCTTTATTAAAGAGGAAGAAAGACCATTACCGGATAATGAGAAACAGAGAAAAGTCTGGCTGCTCTTCGAGTATCCAGAAAGTTCGCAAGCCGCCAGAGTTGTAGCCATAATTAGTGTATTTGTTATATTGCTATCAATTGTTATATTTTGTCTAGAAACATTACCCGAATTTAAGCATTACAAGGTGCGTACGAATCAAACAGCCGAAGGACCTCCAAGGGATACATATCCATCTCTTTCCCTCTCTTTTTGCTTTCTCTCTCTCTCTCTTTTTCCGATTCATTTCGCAGGTGTTCAATACAACAACAAATGGCACAAAAATCGAGGAAGACGAGGTGCCTGACATCACAGATCCTTTCTTCCTTATAGAAACGTTATGTATTATTTGGTTTACATTTGAACTAACTGTCAGGTAGGCCGCTCTCTTCCATAACAAACTATTTATGCGTACACATAGTTGTAAGCTAAGCGAACGAAAGAGAAATATTAGTTTGAACTTGAACTCGAATACAATAATATCTCTCTGTCCATCTAAAACTCTGTTTTCAATTGAGTACCACAGACATTGATTGATTTTCCCTTCTGTTCTTTTCCGTTTTGTATACTCGATTCATTTGAATACTTATTATATTACATATTATATATTTCTCTGTCTGTTGCTTTGCTTTTGTTCGACACCCATGGTTTAATTCAACTGTTTCAATCTCAAATCTTTTCTCTCTCTCTTACATCTCTCCTCTCTGTCTCTCCTTATCTCTCTCTCTCTCTCTCGCTCTCGGTTACTCTATCGCGCTGTCTGTGTGAATCTTTAAACCAAACCAATCGCTGGTCGTTGTATCGATTTTGTGTGTGTTCAGGTTCCTCGCATGTCCGAACAAATTAAATTTCTGCAGGGATGTCATGAATGTTATCGACATAATCGCCATCATTCCGTACTTTATAACACTAGCGACTGTCGTTGCCGAAGAGGAGGATACGTTAAATCTTCCAAAAGCGCCAGTCAGTCCACAGGTATGAGATTTCTGTTTGCCCAATGCCAACTACACAAAAATATCGATATTAATCACACACACACGCCACCACCACCGACCAAAAACACTCACACTCGAGCATATACAGTTGAACCGATTAAAGTAATAAGTGTTGCCATCATCATTTATGAGTTGCCTGACATGATAAAAAGAAGGGGTTGCCTGCCCGCCCCAAACCAAAAAAAAAACACCACACAACTTTCAGTCCAAACTTTTCATTTGTTTCAACTTCAACCTTAATCCCAAACGAATAACCCACCAATAAAACCAATCAACCCATCCCACATCCCCGTTTATCGATAACACATAACCAGGTTATGTTCATTGTTGTATATTGCCGATACTACTTACTAACACAAGCCAAGACATCCGCTTACTCACCTATATACATACATACCATCGAGCTATGTAAATGAACATCCATCATCATATATATATATAAACGATACACACCAACATACGTATATATATATGCATACCACCTACTATATATATATATATATTTCGATAAAATTTTTAGGACAAGTCATCGAATCAGGCTATGTCCTTGGCAATATTACGAGTGATACGATTAGTTCGAGTATTTCGAATATTTAAGTTATCTAGGCATTCGAAGGGTTTACAAATATTAGGACGAACTCTGAAAGCCTCAATGCGGGAATTAGGTTTACTTATATTTTTCTTATTTATAGGTAAGTTCCATACAGTCAAAAAAAAAAAAAAATCTCAAAAAATCAAAATCAAAACAAAACATACCACATTTACTTATCGATTTACGAGTTTTATTCAAACAACAAAAACAAAAGAGAAATACTGCAAAACGACTGCGACCATCCAGACAGACTCACCCCCGCTACCCTGTTTTCCCCGTCCAAAAAGCTCTACTTTTCTAACTACTTATCTCCGTCTCAATGCCCCGAAACACGTACTTACTATAACTATTTGAATACGAAAAATACGAAGAAAAAAGAAAAAAATACCACGGAATACGACCATCGATCGCGAATTAAAACAACCACAAAAGATACATATATATTTATCTATCTATGCTTACGTCTGCCTCAAGCCAGCACATTTATGTTACCGCTCATCACGAACCTCTAATCCTCTAAACAAAGAAAAGAAACCGAACCTGCCAAATGTTTCATTGCGCCACAGACAAACAACAGCCAACCCAAGCCACAAATAAACAAAAACCAAAACAACAAAAAACAGAAAAGTGTTATGCTTTTTAAGAACTTATCATTTTCAATTTGATTTGCCTCACGAAACTCGGCGAAAGCCAAAAGCCAAAATCCAAAATCCCCAGACTTAAGACTAAGCTATACCGAATACGAGAGCTCCCAGTACTTGGATATAGATCAAGTGCCCATTATCTAGATATAGTGTATCTGCAGAGATCCCCTGTCCCCAAAACTCCAAACTTAAAACTTAAAACTCAACGAAATACCCAAAAAGAAACCCGAAACGATAAGAAACCGCTCCAATAGAGATTATACCTAAAACATCAAGCTATAAACTAAAGTAAACTAAAGTAACGTTAACTAGTCATACTATATATATACAGCCATACATAGTCACACATCCAGCTAACTAATACTAATACACCCACACCAACACCCATACACACCTAATAAATATACTAGAGGGAGGCCCTTAGAGCGTGTATATCCGTATTATCTAGGTGTACTCGTATAACTCGTATAACTCACCCATTACGTATCTCTAACTTATTTAGTGTCGTCTAATCCTAGCGCTAAGTAGGTACGAACTATCGCCCAATTGAGCAGCGATAGGCTAGATACGATCCCCAGATCCCAGATCTTATAACCCGATAATTATCGATATACCGATATATGCCCGTGAGAAGCGCTTGAAAGCCCCATAAGTATCGTTCGATTTGGATATGTTCGTTGAGTTCTCTTCATTTGCGTTTTGTATTACGAATATCAATTTGAATTTCAGTTTGAATTTGGTTTTGGCTAGCTTTTTGGATTAACAGCAGCAAAGTCTATCTCAATGTACTCGAATTTTAGTCTATTACTCCTGATATACTCTGACAAAGTGCGAACGGCAGACGAGGGAGGCGAAAATGATCGAGTGTCTACAGCTACGAGTCTTTTCGGAATTCTCCATAGTGCCGCGTTCAAGTCGTTGGCAATTTTAAGCACCTCAAGCAATTTGCACGTAGATCTAGCAATCGATCTTTAATCGAAATAATCTATCTATTTTTATAGCCCAAACCTTAGTGATCCAAATGGAAAATGTGCCAAACTGCTTTGAAAATGCCTTAAAATTGGCAAACTTCTTGGCCTTCAAATTGTCCAACCAAACAGACAAACAATAAATAGCAACTAGAAATGGTGATCGATATATGTTACAACCCTATACATACAGAAAGATCAAGCGAAATGAAACCATCAAATCTGTATCAAATAAATTATATATATTTTGTATTGTTGTTCATGTTCTACCACATTCAAGTTGTTCGTAAACCGTAATCTGTAAACCGTAATCCGTAATCTGTAATCTGTAATCTGTTATCCGTAAAACGTTTTCAGTAATCCGTAAACCGTACTCATCATCAACGTTGTCGTTTCGATGTCCATATGTCCACAGATTGTGCCGTGGTTTGAATTTTGCTTTTAGTTCTATAGTTTTTAGCTTCTAGCTCCTAATTTCTAGTTGGTAATTTCTAGCTCATAGTTTGTTGTTGTATCCGTTGAACGATTAACGTATTAACCATACCTAAGTATATATATCATATGTATAATCTATAGTGTACCATATTCTAAACCGACATACATGAACACATCTATATCAATATATCGCTACCGAAATACTCTCAACATATCTTAATATATGTACCTATATATTCTATTCTGTATATATCAGTTACGTTGAGTTCTGTGTCTGTTGTGTTTCACTCCATGCCATTGCATTCCATTCCGATTCGATCTCTTTCGTTTCGTTACGATATGTTAGATATTATGTTTTCCTTGGCTTTCAAAATTGCAGAGAACTGAGAGCAGCTGATGATATCTATGTTATAACTGATATATACATGTATAGTATATTTATATTTCCAATAGACATTCGATGGTTGCTTTCGTTCCGTTTCCGTTACCGTTACCGTATCATTTGTCTTGCCGTAGTGTAGCCCTGTCATACTTAAACTGTACGCATATACATCGATATATTGATATATATGTATGGAAATCTATTGATATGACTACTTACCTACTACTACTTATGAACCGATAACGTATGTATATTGTATTGTACAGAGTACCTAGCTAGTTTCATGTTTAACTCTAATCAAAAAAAAAAAAAAAAAAAAAACAACAAAAAAAATAATAATACTCTCTATAAATCAATAATCTTCTGTATAGCTAGTTTCCACCGATCAAGTAGTCGTATTAACCTTACTAACACATACAATCACACACACATACACTATATTTCTATATATCTCTCTCTCTCTTTCCTTCTCTCACACACACACCCACATTTGTGGAAGCGCAGAGATGTAGGCAATATTGATCCTTGATCTCTGCTCTTTTGCACTTCGGTTCCCCGGAAGCCGGGGAACATTCCAAAATTTTTGTTATCGCCTTTGTAATATTTTGCTAACTTTTGTGTGACACCCACACAAACACACCCACACCCACACAGAGACACTAACTACTAATACATACATACCATGTCCAACGATGAATATTCCTCAAAACCAATAACATTTTTGACTACATATATATATTTTTTCCTTATCGTGCACCAAAATTTTAATTCCCAGAGAACGGAAATTAATGATAACAACTTACTAATTCCATAATAATCATAGTCCTATGTATATCTTGTAGTTGTTTTAACGAATTAATAAGAAGGGGACCCAAACCACCTTGAAAATCTGACGGGAACCAGATATATGTACCTATGTATCTGCCCCTGCGACCCCATATGATCCAAGACCCAAAGATCCAAAAAAAAAAAAAGAAAAAAAAACCGAGACCAACCCCCAACCGATTCCCAAGCAGAAAATAACAATTAATTTGCACTTTTATTAACGATTGATCTCTATATTTGGATCGTAATTCAGGCGTGGTCCTGTTCTCGTCGGCGGTTTATTTCGCGGAGGCTGGCAGCGACAGCTCCTTTTTCAAGTCGATACCGGACGGCTTCTGGTGGGCTGTGGTGACCATGACGACGGTGGGATATGGTGATATGAGGTACAGCCCACGATTCAGTGGTCCCGGCACTAGCTACTAGCTACTCTCGAATCCCGCCTTCAATATCTACACTTATCTCTCTGTCTCTGTCTCTTCCTCTCTCTGTCTTTGTCTGAGTGTTTTTGTAACTGAGTGTTGTACAGTCTCTCCCATATCTCAACTATATGTCTTTCTAAAGCTTTATGTGTGTCATTGATGTTTTGCTTTTGTCACTCCTAATGCTAATGTATAATAAATCGAAAAATGGTCGTTCCATTCCCATGCGTTCCGCCTCCCACGCCGCCTGTGTGCCCGTTCGTCGATAGAAACGAAAGAAACGGTCTCTCTGTAAATTGAACAATGTGAATATGTGCCATATATGTGATGTTGTGGTTCCCCATGTGATGGTGATCGCTCGCTTTAACGGACCCAATTCCCTATATTTCCCTATGTTATTTGTCTCATTTTCATTTCCGTTCATTCGTATTCCTTTTGGTGTTTCCTTTACGGCATGATTGGTTCTACGTTTTGCGTCCCCCATTCTTTTTTGTGTTTTTCATCTCCTTTACGTTATGTTCGTCCCTAGTATGTGCCTACAACCCCCCACTCCGCATCCCACTAGCCCCTAAATAAGGAATGGAGTCTATTTTCTGATTTTCAAGACATTCTATGGTCCACTGTCGCCGTTTGTTCCACCCGCAAAAATATATATCACCATATTTTTGGGCCCCAATAGCAGTACGAACAGCGGGAGGCTCACCAGAAACCGATTTCCCCCAATTGATTCTAAACATTTGTTTTAGGATAAAAGAAATAACGAACCCCATAGGTTAGCCATGATTTTCTGCTTGGGAATGCCGCCGGATTGTGGTGAATATATCGAAACTCTTTTAAGTTGAACCGAAAAACACCGAAAACACTGAAACTGAAACTATAAACAGAAACCGAAACAGAAGGGTTGCCAAATGTATTTTGGAAAACACGAATGCCCCACCATCACATATACGTACACCACCTTGACGAGCTTCCGACGCATCCAGACATATAAGACTTACTTTCAACAAAACACTCTTTGGTTAAATGTTAATTTTGAAAAAAAAAAAAAAAATTAATAATAATAATAAAAATAAAACTTAAAAAAAAAAATTCAACAAAAAAAACATAAAAGAATATATTACCAATGCAAAGCAATGTTTCTCCCATCAATTCTTTTAGGCGTCGTACTCTTCTCATCGGCGGTTTATTTTGCGGAAGCTGGAAGCGAAAATTCCTTCTTCAAGTCCATACCCGATGCATTTTGGTGGGCGGTCGTTACCATGACCACCGTTGGATATGGTGACATGACGTATGCAAATCTATACAATTCTAACTTTTATGATTACGTTTACGATAACTCCAGTTTTGATTTTACGTTTTCGTTTCCGTTTACGTTTCTATTTCCGTTATCGTTATCCGTTATCCGTTACCCGTTATCGTTTCGTTTTCGTTTCGTTCCCGCCTTGGGAGCGCCTCCTTTCCGGGCGTTCCATTCCTTCTCCGTTCCACCACTGTGTGTTTTGTTTATAAATTTATAATCTTCTTTTCGTTATGTGTGATTACTAAGAGCCCGCCCCCCTTTAACCTTAAACCCCCTTTAACAAAACGCTAACCCAACTAAAGCTATCTACCGAAATGTATCCAAAACTAACTGTACTTCTTGTTAACCCCTTTAAGTTTCGTATCTCCCGATTATAATAATATGCAAAACCAAACTTAAACGTTGTTGTCTCTTACTTTGACTCGCTGAGCTGTTTGTTTGTTTTCCGTACTTGTCTAAAATGACTTCTATTTGTCTTTGTCTTTGTATTCGTATACTTATATTTATATTTGCCTTAAATCTTGTGTTCCATTCCATTCCGTTTCGTTGTGGTATCGTTTAACTGTCTTCGGTTGGCATCACTCTTTCTTTCTTTCTTTCTCGCTCGCACTAGCTCACCCACCATCTCGCTCTCTCGTGTGTTCCGTTTCCATTTCATAGCGTTTTCACATTGAGTCTTTTAGCTGTTTTTACATTTATACTTTGCGCCAAAGTTGAAGTATTTTGCTTATCATTTTCTTATCGCAAATTACCTATGTAACGTTGTGTCGTTGTTTAGTTCACAAAAGATACCGAAAAAAAATACGAAAATAATCTTGAAAAATACCAGAACAAGTCATCAGTTCAACTCGATTTAATACTCATACCGGGCACTGTAGCTTAACGGTACAGTGCCGCCCATAATCGCCATCATCAAACACACACACACACAAACACTAACACACACTGGGTGAGGGAACCACGCCCACCGAGCGATAACGATAACTTCATTTGCTGGCCAAACAGTTTATCGAGTTTAGCTCCCCCTCCCACCCGAAAAACACCCAAAAACACCCACAACGAACACAATAAAGCTGGAGGAGAAGAAAAAAAAAAAAAAAACTAAAGGATGGAGGAGACGAGGACGAGCATGCTGCATGTGCCCGATAAACACACTTACCCACTTACACGACACTCACACACCTAAGCGCCCTCATTCACACACACACACACAAGCCCACACACGCACACTGAGACACAAAAGTTTAGCTACAGCCGCCTAATGAGCAACAAAGCCCAAGCCCAAAGCCCAGCCGCCTGCCAAATCCAATTGCCTATGATACCCAGAACCCCAGATCCACTCTCCACTTTCCACTCCTTTTTCCCCATTTTCCAACTTTAACCGGAGGAGGAAAAAGTTTTCGCCACACACTCATGCACCAGGACCCCCCACCTCTCACACACACACTGAAACACCTGAGCCAGTTGCTCGCACTTATGCAATAATTATGTCTGTATATAAGCACACGAACAAGCCGCCTCAGAAACTCAGAAACTGCCGAACAAAAAATAAAAAAAAATACTATACTATACAAAACCCAGATATACTACTACTACGCTTACCCACCCGTTGTTCTAAGTGTTGTGCCTTCTTCTTTCGACTTTCGTACTCTTTGCGCCACTTTGATTTGATTTGAACGTTCTCTGCTAGACTAATGCCTACTCAAGCCCTCCTCTCTATAAATATTATACTTATATAAGCGTACACCTATCGATATCTATATCTATACCTGTATCTGTATCTATATAATGCGTATTGCCCTATAATTTTGCCAATGCATACAGTATATATGATAAAAATCAAAAAAAAAAAAAAAAAAAACGAAAAAGAAATTCTAAGAACAAAACAAGAGTTTTACTTTACATTTCTTATATATTTGTATTTTCATTTTATTTATATCGTTCGTTCGTTAACATCGCTCGCTTCCATCCAAACAAACAAAAATACCAAAAATCAATTAAAAAAAAAAAAAAACAACCAACCAACTCCAAAATTCTCAATTCAAATAAAATATACATCAATTGTTAATCAAAACCAAAAACAAATATCCCCAACAACCAACAACAACAAAAAAATTGCACCTATATCTTACCATAAAAAATATATATATATATAATAATATTACAAAATATAAAAAAAAAAATGCAACCCTAAAACTCGCGGAAAAATTGTATGTGCAAATGATTGCCAATCGAAAATTGAAAATTGCATTGTATCGTTTATCGTTTGACACACGATCACGACTATCGATTGAAATCGAATCCGAAATTGAATGAAATTGAATTGAACCAATTGATAATGTGAAACTGAAACTGATTGATTGACTGATTGATTTATTGAATTATGAATGATTGATTGAATGGTACAGACCCGTCGGCGTTTGGGGCAAGATTGTGGGATCACTGTGTGCCATTGCTGGCGTGCTGACCATCGCACTGCCGGTGCCGGTCATCGTCAGCAATTTCAACTACTTCTATCACCGCGAAACGGATCAGGAGGAGATGCAGAGCCAGAACTTTAATCACGTTACTAGTTGTCCATATTTGCCAGGTACATTAGGTAAGTTCAACACTGTGTGTGCACACCCGAACTCTGAACCCTGAACCCCAAAACCGAAACCCTCTATCGCTCTGTGCCTCCTGTGATGATATCTACATATATCTGTTGTGGCCTTGGCTCGAACCGCCCTCTCCCTCCCCCTCGATTCGCACTTATCCTCCCCGAACTCCCAGAAAAAAGCCACCCAGAATACCAACACCCCACCACTACCGACAGAACCACCAAAAACCCAACCACAAATTCAAGTAGAGCAACAAAAAGTAGAACCCGTCGAATAAAAATAGAAACATTTACGAAGAAAGAAACGAATTGTGGATGTGCCGATGCTAAAGCCGAAGGCGGTGCCGTGTGCCCCTCAAAAAAAAAAAAAAAAAAAAAAAAAACTCTAACCACTTACCAAGCAAACCAGAATACCATCCATCCTCCCAACTCGGATGGGTACAACGGCACTGCTTTCGAACCAGACACGTTGTCACACAGAGAAAAAATATCACCACAAAACGATGGGTCATCCGAATACCAGCTACCTTGGATCTGAGGCATATCATCGTTGTACCACAATAAATCTGTACCCAAACGAAAGACATAATGATGAAATGAAAGTGATCTACAAATTGATACCTCTTGAATTTAGTGCCTTAGTAACGGTTGTTATAAAACATCATGCACACCCATACCTTAAGATACATCCACAATTGGAACTCTGCGATATCACAATGATATGCCAAAGATCAGTGATATATGTTTAGGATTAATTGAAAAAGTCGAGATGATAATATGAAACAGATGTTATGTTTTTTCTCTGTGCACTGCCGAGCACCCAGCAGCCCAGCAGCAACCCCCTAAAAAAAACAAAAAAAACGAAAAAAAAGAAAGGGGGCAACCCTGGTGGGGCTGGTGGGTGGGTGACGTGCTGCAGCGCCGGTGGGTGGCAACCCTGTCGGTGGGGCAGCGGTATTGCGGTATTGACAGCGGTGCCACAACCAAAGTGCACGTACTGTGTGTGTGTTTTGTGTGTAAGCGAGTACTACTACTACCACTGCAGCAAAAAACATAACCGTTACCGATGCATTACAACTGTATGTGTGATCTCCTCTTTCTCTCTTCTCTCTCTCTTCTTTTTGTTTCTCTCTTTATTCCGTCAATTTAATGGCCAATTCGAATATCAAAACGTGAACTCCACACAAAAAAAAAAAAAAAAAAAAAAAAAAAACCGAAAACCCAAATTCCACCCAAAAATCCGTTCCTGCATCCCTGGCATTGTGTGAATCCCCCAATCAAACTCACGTACACACGTCATACACACACACACACATACGCTCTGTCTGCCAACGCGTGATATACACACTGCGACAAAAAAACACACTAAACAAATGCATACAAACCACCAAGTAGGTCAACACATGAAGAAATCATCGTTGTCCGAGTCCTCATCGGATATGATGGATTTGGACGATGGTGTCGAGTCCACGCCGGGATTGACAGACACGCATCCTGGACGGAGTGCGGTGGCTCCATTTTTGGGAGCCCATCAGCAGCAGCAGCAGCAGCAGCAGCAACCGGTGGCATCCTCAATGTCGATGTCGATCGACAAGCAGCTGCAGCATCCACTGCAGCAGCTGACGCAGACGCAACTGTACCAGCAGCAGCAGCAGCAGCAACAGCAGCAGAACGGCTTCAAGCAGCAGCAACAGCAACATACGCAACAGCAGCAGCAACAGTCCCACACAATAAACGCAGCAGCAAGCGCAGCAGCGGCAACGAGCGGCAGCGGCAGCAGCGGCCTCACCATGAGGCACAATAATGCCCTGGCCGTTAGTATCGAGACCGACGTTTGACTACTGGGTAAGTGTTGGAAAACGCCACTCGCTTGCTGCACAGACCGATCCCCAAACACCCACCCCTTCCATCTTTATCACACTCTCAATCTATCTATCTTGCTCTGGCACACTTCAAACCCCTAAGAACCCCCCTCCACCCACCTTGCACCTTGAACCGTAGAGCGTAACTAGGTTTAAGTGTTGCAAAATGCCAAAAGCAAAATGCAAAATTCCAAAACGGTTCGTTCGCACTGGCCGCCATTGATGCGGGGCAGCGGCAACACTTTGTTTTGCTGCTAAATGAGAGAAACGAAATGTTGGAATTATACGTGTTAAAATAACATAAATTTAAAAACTTCTTGAATGTGTTTTTAATGTAAAATTTGATAATCTTAAAAATCAAACACATTTCTTTTCCCTAACCAGTGCGAACGTCCGATCATTTAAATTGAACTGAATTGAATTCCGATTTGATTAGAATATAACTTTTTCTCTCTTTTCTCTCCACGTGGCGCGCTCTTCTACCTACGCGATACACATGTTTGCCTATGTTTACGTATCGTATGAACCTAATCCTAAACTTAACTTAAACCTAAACCTAAAACCTTTGCCTACGTCTTGATCCCTATGTATTACCATATGTATGATATGACACGATATGTATATGATATATGATATGATAATTTATGTTATATGATAAAGTGCAAAAGACGTTGCGTGGTATAAAATTGGCCTTGACAGGAGTTACGTTGGATGCCAGAAACGACTACAAAAGCTGTTTATATTTAATTTAAGTAGAACAAATAACAAAACAAATTTAATCTATTGCTAAATTAAATTAAATTAAATCTAAACTAAAACTTAAATTAATTTAATTTAATTAAATTAAATTATACATTTAATGATAAACAACACAAAAACCAAAATCCAAACCAGAACAAACCAAAAGCAAGATAAATGAATGAGTAAGGGAGTAACAATAAATTCGAGTAGTATGGCATAATCCAATAAAACCAAAAAACAAAAAAAAAAACCATTGACAAATAACAAAGATCAACAAGGTGAGAGATAAAACAGCATTAACATCGAAGAAGTGATGGCAGAAATTAAATCAAATTTTTAACAAACGAAGCTGAATATGTCAACCTACAAACGGAACGGAAACAGAAACTGTAAATAATGCAAAAAGAATTCATTCGGCTCACAAGCCATTATTTTAGCAGGAATACTACAGATTGCTTTGAGAACTCCGATCGAAGGGATAAGCACAGTGAAGCAAGTCCATGTGGAGGGATGTCCCTTTTTTAAGAACCGATCAACATAACCTCACAAAGCAGATTTCCGATATATTTACACACAGTCAGTCACACACACACAGACACGCATTACAAGAAAGTATAGAAAAACTGCCGTAATATTTAATAACTGAAAAAACCAAAAAACCGAAACCTACTTGTATAGTCATCAAGGAATACCAATACCAACCCGAAACCGAATCCAAGGCAATATCTGCTTTTAAATGTGAGGGGAATTACTATCGTGTAACTTAGAACAGCTAACCATCTAACTGAATAACTGAACTAACCAACTAGGCATATGCATACATACATACATATATGTGATAGATGTACTATGTGTATGGAACCTAAACAATATCGTTCGTAACTCGTAACTACTCGAGACCCTTTGTTTTTTGATTAAAGCTTAAGAGAAATCTATGCCCACCCAATCCACTTCGAACCTCTCCACTACGAAACCAACTAACTGAACCCATATCAGCTATATATCTTCTGCTTCGATCCCCCCGAATTAAAACGAAATAAAAAGTACAAATATTCAACTAAAAGCGAAACAACTAAATCGTAAATACTACGATGAAGATGCAGATTCAGTGCTTGAAGGATTTATAAAAAGGAAAAGGAAAAACGACTGCAATTGAACTACACCTACAAGACCGAAGAAAGTACGGATCCAACGGATTGCTCGAATTCCCCACTCACAGATCCAAAAATCACAGAATCACAAAGAAGAGAAAAAGGTGGCGACAAGAGATGCAACAAAACAGAAAACGCTCTTATGATTTTTTTTAATAAAAGCAAACTATATACCACAAACAAAAAAAATTAACAAAAAAACCAACAAACACTAAAGGTAAAAGTTAAACTAAAAGCGATGATTTCTTCTTCGACTGAATTGCAGGGGTTAGTCGATACCCTATTCCCACTTCCCACCCAAAAAACCCCCCCCTCCCTTCTCCTAGCAAGAAATCGTTGACTGAACTGAACTGCGAATTCAACTTTTGCATTAAGTGTATATTAAAAGAGATACAAGATACAAAACTCCACTATACATATATATATAATGTGAAGATATATATTTATGTGTGTATATGTACCGAACTGCATAGATGAATATATTAATCGTATATGTATATGAGTAGGAGACCTGTACATAAGGAGGGTTGCTCTTGCCGATGTAAATTGATGGATAGCCCATAGTTCCATGGCAACCGAGAAACGGAGAAACCGATCATATTCAAGTGTAAATTTTAAAAAGCTTCGAAAACCGTCCACACACAAAACACTAACAAAAGCACTTGCACACACATTCATAGGTAACGGGGGGGTTGGGGGTAGTCCAAGGTCAGGGGTGGAGAGTTCGAGAGGTGGTTCTAGAGTCGGAAAGCCAAAGCAAAAAGATCCGGAGGAGCAGAGCAGAGCAAAGTGCCTTAAGGAACATTGTGCGCCAACCGACTCGATCCCCTCTGCCTCAGCCCCTTATCAAGGGAGCCACCCCTTGCTCCCCTTTTCCCCCGCCCCTGCAACCCATGCAACCCCTAGCAATTCAGTAGAACCAGCTGAAAGAAAAGAAAATAAAATAAAACAAGCGAACAATAATGCAACGTTTCCAAGGTGCCACAGTGGAGGCCAGGTATAAAGGGCCGAACGATACGTGGACACTGTGTAAATAATCGCTAAAATAGGGTATCCCCACTGTGGCTGCTAACTGCTGTAAATACTCTCCAACTACAACTACATCTTGCAAATGCTATTTTGTACAAAAAAAAACAAATCAACACCTAATAAAAAATCCAATAAATACTAAAAAGATTATATAATAAATGAATAAAATAAAATAAAACAAAATCAAGGAATAACACATTCAAATGTCAGTTAAATGTTGTAGCATATAACGGGTTAACATAAATACCAGGGTACTCGGTTATGACCAGCTGATGGACGCACGAGGTAGTACCGCACGCGTTGCTACCGGCACTGCTCAGAGTCGGGAAAGTGGGGGGGGTTTTTTTCTAGGTGTACTGCTCGAAATGCTGGCGATGTATGCTATAATATTATTTGATTTCGCGTGCTAAGGGAATATAGGGAATTTGCTCGCTCTAATCAATCAGAAAACAGAGAAAGAGAAGAGTATTCAGATGGTCGACAATAGAAGAAAGACTTTTTCACAAAAAAACTTGCGGCTTGATTGTTGTTGCTGATGATGTTGTTGCAGCAACTTGCAGTAGCCCACCCAACCTAGACCATTTATTCCAGAGTTATTAAATACACCTTTTTACCAAATGGTCCCTAAAATCAAGTTCGCTTTTGTTAATACCCTACCATACTTCCGTTCCGCATGACCCCCTTATGTAAACGCCTAGCAAGTATTCATTTTAAATTCACAATTTTTATTTAAAAATAATAATAATAACTACACTCCATGTGAGTCTGGATGTATTTAATTTCTAATAGCTTTAGTAAATAATATTTCAATTTAGGCATGTAAAGTTTTAATTTAAGTTAATTTCAAAGAAAAATTCTAGTCTAGTGAGAATAATCGTGAGAATGGCGCTGTGGGAAGATAATATGATAGGTTCATTTAAGGTATAATAGTAATAATATATTTAATATGTAATATAGGTAGTATAATAAAATAGGGTATATTTAAATTCGGGCATTATTTTTGTTCAGGCGCGAACAGAAGTGGTTTACGTTATCAATACTAACTCTTTTTTTTTTTTTTATTGTGTTTTCTGTTAGTTTTTTAATCATCGCCGTCTATGCACAAAATTTCTTTTACTTGGCTTTGACTTTACTTTTTGCATTCGTAGATCCAAAAAAACAATACAGGTTTGGGTAAACTTACCGCTCCAGTTCCAGCCGGTCGAAAGCGCTTTCGGCGATGCTGCGGGGAGGGTCATATAAACCTACGTATAAGCTTGTAGATCACTTTTAATTTGTTTGCATATTACACCTTCTTTTCATTTTAATTTGTTTTGTTTTGCATTATTTTCGTTGGTTGTCTTGCGTACGTTAATTAGGTTTTATATTTTTTCTTTGGCTACGCAAGCAACACACCACTTTTATTTTCGCCAAAATAATTGTAATTTTTCTTAGCTTGCCCATTTGGTTATTATATACTTTTTACTTCATTATTCTCTTCATAGATCTTTTCTTTTCATATTATTGTTCACATCACCATTCTCTCACAGATTTTTGATTTTCTCACTTGCTTTGCTTTTAAATTATAACTTCATGATTTTGGACTTGATCTTTTAACTAATAAAAATTAAGAAAAAAACAAAAAAAAATGGAACTCGATCGGATTTTCCATCGAGTATAACCTTTTCTAAGGCAGACCGTGGCACTTGGTTATTTCTTACTGCTTCTTGCCGATTTACACCATTACGAGGTTATGCACGAGCTCGATGGGGTTAACAAAAGAGAGGTTAGGCACGAGTTCGAAGGGGTTATTTCCGACTTTTCCGGCTTTTCCGCACTTTTCCGCCTACGGGATCGTCATAGGAAGCTCGATAGGGTTCCCGTGCCGGATTTAAATGATGAGAGCGCTGCTGATGTTACCCGCTGTCTACTCCCAACTGGATCGCAAATTCTTATCTCAAGTGGATTTTGGGGAACCGAAGAAAAATATGCAGGTTTTTTTGGGCTTACGCCCCACACCTCTCCGCAGCTCTGCACTCGCAAGCTTTTGGCTCTCGCAAATAGAAATCTTACGGCGACAGAGGCAGCGGAATTCGGAAGTTGGGACTTCGGAGTTGGCCCTGAACTGAGCAGGAAATCACTGTTGTTTGTGGTTTTAAATGCAGTTGACCAGCCTTGTGTCGGCTTGTCCACGTGAGGGTTAGAAAAACTTGGCTTGTGGATAAGGGTGAACTGGTCACCTCAGGCGTCAATCGGCAAATAGACCGAGCTTAGGGTTTGGATCACGCTTGTAGGCCTATTTCCGTAGGCCGCGAAGGTCTCCAGTGTCACTGTGACATTCGACCCTGGAAAAAGGATTTCATCCCTGCGGATCTAAACTCTGCTATTATCTAGTAATTTTTCCTCT